CCTCACTGTGCTGCTGCTGCTGCGAGCTGTCACCTGCACAGGGCCCTCACCACTGTCACCCAGCACAGCCCAGACCCCCAAGGTCACCCAGCACAGCCCAGACCCCCACAGTACCCAGCACAGCCCAGACCCTCCCCACTGTGTGACCCAGCACAGCCAGAGCCCCAAGGTCACCCAGCACAGCCCAGACCCTCCCCCCTGTGTCATCCCCCACAGCCCAGACCCCCAAGGTCACCCAGCACACCCCGGACCCCCAGCCTGCACCCCGGACCCTTGTCACCCATCAAAGCCTGGTCACCCAAGGCATTACAGCCCCCCAGGACAGGTGGGAAGCCCCAGGGACCCCCACATTGACGGCACGGCTCCCAGCAGAGCCTGGGGGAACCCCCCTGTTTGGGGGCTGCAGGAGGACGGGCTGGGCTCTTCGGCCAAGCCTTGCATCACCTCGGCCGGCTGCCCAGTACAACCAGCACAGAGACTGGGCAGGGCTGGGAGCCCGGCTCGGCTGACTCAGACCCCCCCTCCCACCAGCTTTTGGGGAACCCCTGCCCAGAGCCCCGGGATGGGGTTTGGAGGGAGCATCAAACCCCGCTCTGCACGGCCCCACCAGCCCGGGGAGCGCCGGGACAGAACCGCGGTACCGGGAGGGGACACCGAGCGTACCGGGGAGGGGACACCGAGCATCCCGGGGGGGCGCACGGAGGGTACCGGGGAGGGGGCACCGAGCGTCCCGGGGACAGAACCGCGGTACCGGGAGGGGGCACCGAGCATCCCGGGGACAGAACCGCGGTACCGGGGGAGCACCGAGCGTCCCGGGGACAGAACCACGGTACCGGGGGAGCACCGAGTGTCCCGGGGAGGGACAGAACCGCGGTACCGGGAGGGGACACCGAGCGTACCGGGGAGGGGACACCGAGCATCCCGGGGGGGAGCACCGAGTGTCCCGGGGAGGGCGCACCGAGCGTCCCGGGGACAGAACCACGGTACCGGGGGAGCACCGAGTGTCCCGGGGAGGGCGCACCGAGCGTCCCGGGGACAGAACCGCGGTACCGGGGGACCGCTGAGCGTCCCGGGGACAGAACCGCGGTACCGGGGGAGCACCGCGCGTACCAGGGAGGGCGCACCGAGCATCCCGGGGGGGCGCACCGAGCGTCCCGGGAGGACACACCGGACATCCTGGCGAGGTGGCAACGCGCTTCCCGAGGGGCTACGACCCCCGATGCCACCCCGCTCCTCCCGGGCCGCTCCCCGCGGGTATCCCCGTGCCCCCCACCGACCCCCCCACCCCACTCGGGACGCCGGTTCCCCGCTCACCTGCAGCGCTCCCGGTGCCAGCGGCGAGCAGCAGCCCCGCGGCCAGCAGCAGCCGCGGCCCCATCGCCCCCATGGCCCCGCCGCCCCCGCCGGCTCCCGTCGCGCATGGCCCCGCCACCGCCACCGGCACCGGCACCGACCCCGCCCGGCCCGGCCCGGCCCGGGGGCGGAACTTCCCTGCCAGCCCCGTGGCTCCGTTCCGCTCCTCCGGCGCCGCCCCGGCCGGGGCGGAGCGGGGGTGGTTCCCTGTGCGCCGGGAGGGGCTGGCGGGGGCCGGGGTAGCGGTGGTGCTGCTGCGGTGGGACCCCTCCCCATCCCGAGACCCCTGCCCTCGTCATCCCCTAGAGTGGAGACCCCCACCTGCACGTCCCAGGAGAGCAGAGGCGCCCACCCTGCACCGTCTCATGCTCTGGAGACCCCTCCTTCATCATGCTGAACACTGAAGAGCCCCGCCTTCACCACCGCGGAGGGCAGAGCCCCCTGCGTCCATCCCCCAGGGCAGGAGAGACCCTCACATCCAGCAGAGACACCCCACTGTCACCAGCCCGTGCTCCCCACACCCCTGCCTTTATCTCCTCATGAAAGGAAGATGCCAACCTTCACCATCCTGACAGCAGAGACCCCCACCTTCATCATCCAGAGAGCAGAGACCCCCACCTTCATCATCCTAAACAGCAGAGACCCCCACCTTCATCATCCTAAACAGCAGAGATGCCCACCTTCATCATCCTAAACAGCAGAGACCCCTATCTTCCATCTTCATCATCCCAGACCACAGAGACCCTCACCTTCATCATCCCAGACTGCAGAGACCCCCACCTTCATCATTCAGAGAGCAGAGACCCCCACCTTCATCATCCTAAACAGCAGAGACCCCTATCTTCCATCTTCATCATCCCAGACCACAGAGACCCTCACCTTCATCATCCCAGACATCCTCCTAAACAGCGGAGACCCCCACCCTCACAACCCAGACACCACACAGCCCCACCTTCACTTTTTAAAAAACCAAATATAAGTAAAGAGACTAAGAAAATTATTGTGTCAGGTCTTTTCTTTTTTTCTTCTACGTGACTGGTCTTTGTCAAGGGAGGTTGCTTCCTTGAAAGCTTTTTTCCCCCCTCAGAAACTTGTTTTGAAATTTACAAAAGTTTAATAGTTACAAAATGGTTGTAAAATAGTAATACAAATTAGAGCAATAAGGACCCCCACCCTCATCATCCTAAACACCGGAGACCCCCACCCTCATCCTCCTAAACAGCGGAGACCCCCACCCTCACAACCCAGACACCACACAGCCCCACCTTCACTTTTTAAAAAACCAAATATAAGTAAAGAGACTAAGAAAATTATTGTGTCAGGTCTTTTCTTTTTTTCTTCTACGTGACTGGTCTTTGTCAAGGGAGGTTGCTTCCTTGAAAGCTTTTTTCCCCCCTCAGAAACTTGTTTTGAAATTTACAAAAGTTTAATAGTTACAAAATGGTTGTAAAATAGTAATACAAATTAGAGCAATAAGGATTTGGACCATCAGAGTGAGGACAATAAAGCAAAGAAGTATGAATGTTCAGATGCTTTCCTCAGAAAAAGCATGGCTTGCTAACAAAGCATTAACTCTTAAAAGCAACAGCCTGTTGCATATTCATATATCTCCTACATGATGCATAAATTCTTTTCAAACAAAGGGTGTTCTCTGGTTATTGTCAACTTCTCCTTAATCCTGTTGGCGCCTCAAAGACTAAAAGGGGGTGGAAGAAAGTTTGTTTTTTCCAATAAGGAGGCAATATTTCTTTTCTTGGGGCTTGTTGCTGTTATCTCTGTGTGAAAAATTTCTTGATCATCTCATCTCTTTCTTGAGTAGTTACAGAGTATCTTACATGGCAAAGTTTCTACTTTAACATTATGTTGTAACCTAAAACTGTATTTAACACACTACATAAGAGAATCAATAGAGCACAACTTCCTAACATAACACATATAATATTAATTGTAATGTTTGCGAAAAGCCAATCATATTGTGAGACACAACTGCTCGCTTTGAAAATTTAAAAAGGTTTATTAAACCTTAGCAAAAATACAACACAGGACTACAGAAGGAAAAAGCTGCAGCGCTGGGAACTCCCCTCGTGCATACCATGTGGCCAGTTCATCTTCTAGATGGATGCTCAGTCTTTTACACCCCTGGGGTTTGCATCAGCCAGCCCTGGCTCCTCTCACAGTCTGTCAGTCAGCTCTTCTTTGTCATTTATCAGTGGAAACTGCTTTCTTGTAACTTGACTGGAGATCAGGTGTTGTCACGCTCTACCCCCTAAGCAGCAAGCTTTTCCATTCCCACCTGCCCCAGGTAAGGGGCACATGTGCACATCTTCTTTTTACCTGTCCTAGACAGCCCAGGCTGTCCGATGGTCACAATCCAGGGGGAAAAGGGAACTGTGGGGAGAACAGAGGACATCTGAACTACAGCAACATAACTATAGATCACTAAAGCTTCTCTTAATATTCACACAATAGTTATCTTCTAATTGCAAGAGCCAATCATCTTATTACCTATCTGTAGCAATATAACACGCATTTTTGACACTAACACATGCGCTGCAGCAGAACACAACTGAAACTGCCAAGGGGTCCTGAATGCAATGGAAACCGTCTAATATTTGTGAAAACCCAGCAATATAACACGCATTTTTGACACTAACACATGCGCTGCAGCAGAACACAACTGAAACTGCCAAGGGGTCCTGAATGCAATGGAAACCATCTTTAATATTTGTGAAAAGCCAATCATATAACACATATTTTTCACACCAACACACCTACTGCGGCAGAATGCAACTGAAACTGCTGAGGGCTTCTGAATGCAATGGAAACCGTCTAATATTTGTGAAAACCCAATCACATTGAGGGGTTCCAAATGCAACGGAAATCATCTTTACTATTTGCAAAAAGCCAATCATGTAACATGCATTTTTCACACCAGCAGAGCAGAACGCAACCAAAACTGCCAAGGGGTCCTGAATACAAGGGAAACCATCTTTAATATTTGGGAAAAGCCAATCATGTAACACGCATTTTTCATGCCAACACACCCACTGCAGCAGAATGCAACTGAAACTGCTGAGGGATTTCAAATGCAAGGGAAACCGTCTTTAATATTTGTGAAAAGCCAATGATATAACACACATTTTTCGCAGCAACACACCCACTGCAGCAGAGCACAACTGAAACTGCCGAGGGGTCCTGAATGCAATGGAAACCGTCTAATATTTGTGAAAACCCAATCACATAACACGCATTTTTGACAGCAACACACCCAGCACAGCAGAATGCAACCAAAACTACCAAAGGGTCCTGAATGCAAGGGAAACCGTCTTTAATATTTGCGCAAAGCCAATGATATAACACACATTTTTCACAGCAACACGCCCACTGCAGCAGAGCACAACTGAAACTGCCCAGGGGTCCTGAATGCAAGGGAAACCATCTTTAATATTTGGGAAAAGCCAATCATATAACATGCATTTTTGACAGCAACACACCTACTGCAGCAGAATGCAACTGAAACTGCTGAGGGCTTCCGAATGCAATGTAAACTGTCTAATATTTGGGAAAAGCCAATGATATAACACACATTTTTCACAGCAACACGCCCACCGCAGCAGAGCACAACTGAAACTGCCGAGGGGTTCCGAATGCAACGGAAACCGTCACGCAGCACCTGCCAACCGTTGCGGGTGCAGCTCGTTGCAAACTGCTCGCTCGCTCTGCTGCCATCCCGCCGAGCCCAAGCTGGAGGGAGCAGCAGGACCCTGGCCATGAGGCTGCTCTCGGGCTTGGGCAGGGCCCTGCGGGCCCGGTGGGGCCTGGGGCAGAAGCAGGCCCAGCGGCCCAGAGCCAAGCGCAGGCCGGAGAAGCCCAGCAAGGCCCGGGAGTTCGCCCGCAGCCTGGGCGGCCTCGCCCTGGGCCTGCTGCTGGCCACCATTTATGGGGCCCTGGTGCTGCTGGTGCAGGGCCACAACGTCTGGTACTGCCTGAGCATCACCGTCCTCATGGGCGCCGCGCTGGGCCTGGGCATGGCCTTCTCCATGAAGATCCGGATGATCGTGCTGCTGGCACTGCCGCATTTCTTCACCAGTGAGCAGCCGTGGGTGCCGGGGGATGCCGGCTCCTGGCTGAGCACCAGGGCTGTGTTAGAACCCTAGATACTAAAAAAATGAAATTTTCTGTGTTAAAAAATGCAGACCCTCAAGAGAACTTAAAGCCATAAAAAAAGCTTCCAAAATTAATTAATAACAGATTGATAAGATTATAAATTATATATAGCAGATTAGTTATATATAACGGATTAATAATAATATTACAGATTATATATGGCAGATTAGTTATATATAATAGATTAATAATAAGATTATTGGTTATATATAGCAGATTAGTTATATGTAACAGATTAATAATAAGATTATAAATTACATATAACATGTTAGTTATATATAATAGATTAATAATAAGATTATGGGTTATATATAGACAATTCATAATAAGATTATAAATTATATATAGCAGATTAGTTATATGTAACAGATTAATAATAAGATTATAAATTATATATAGCAGATTAGTTATATATAATGGATTAATAATAATATTACAAATTATATAGCACATTAATTATATATAATAGATTAATAATAAGATTATTGGTTATATATAGCAGATTAGTTATATATAATGGATGAATAATAATAAGATTACAAATTATATATAGCGGATTAGTTATATGTAATAGATTAATAATAAGATTATAAATTATATATAGCAGATTAATAATAAGATTATAAATTATATATAGCGGATTAGGTATATATAATAGATTAATAATAAGATTATGGGTTATATATAGCAGATTAATAATAAGAATATGAGTTATATATAACAGATTAGTTATATATAACAGATTAATAATAAGATTGTAAATGATATGTAACAGATTAGTTCTATATAGGAGATTAATAATAAGATTATGAGTCATATATAGCAAATTAGTTATGTATAATAGATTAATAATAAGATTATAAATTACATATAACACGTTAGTTATATATAACAGATTAATAATAAGGTTATAAGCGTGTAGTTTAAATAGGAGTAGGTAATATCATGTAGCAGAAAATTTAGAGTTTAAAGTTTTAAAATATAGTAATATATATAAAACTAAGATAGAAATTTTAATACTGTAGCTAATCCTTCTTCTTCACCTTCTTCTTCATAAATTTAAGTAGTATTTATAATTAAACAAAAAAGTCCACATTGCAAAACACAAGTGATTAGTTATTGAGTTAAAAATAAAAATAATTTAAGTGGCATTTCTTAATTAGCTAATTTTTCCTTTAAAGACCTTGTAAAAATATATACAAACCATTTTGTAATTTATTAGTAAAATACTGTAGAACTCACCATTTATAAGACTGTAATATAGATAAAAAATAATAAACATCTAAATCCAGACACAAAATGCCATTTTGAGCGCTTTCAATCCCAACCCTAACAGAAACAAAAAAGAAGTTAAAAACCAACATTAGTGGTGCCCTGTGTGAGGCTTGAATTCACAACCTTCAGATTGTGAGACTGATTTTCCCTGTCAGATTTTGAGACTGATTTTTCCCTGTCAAATTATGAGACCGATTCTTCACTGTCAAATTATGAGACTGATTCTTCCCAGTCAGATTATGAAACTAACTTTTCCCTGTCAGATTATAAAACTGATTCTTTCCTGTCAGATTATGAGACTGATTCTTACCTGTCAGATTGTGAGACTGATTGATTTTTCCCTGTCTGATTATAAAACTGATTTTTCCCTGTCAGATTATGAGACTGGTTCTTGCCCTGTCATATTATGAGACTGATTCTTTGCTGTCAGATTATGAGACTGATTTTTCCCAGTCAGATTATGAGACTGATTCTTTGCTGTCAGGTTGTGAGACTGACTGATTTTTCCCTGTCAGATTATGAGACTGATTTTTTCCCTGTCAGATTATAAAATTGATTCTTTCCTGTCTGATTATGAGACTGATTCTTTGCTGTCAGATTTTGAGACTGATTTTTCCCAGTCAGATTATGAGACTGATTTTTCCCTCTCAAATTTTGAGACTGATTCTTTGCTGTCAGATTATGAGACTGATTCTTTCCTGTCAGATTTTGAGACTGATTTTTCCCTGTCAGATTATGAGACTGATTCTTGCCCTGACAGATTATGAGACTGATTCTTTGCTGTCAGATTGTGAGACTGATTTTTCCCTGTAAAATTATGAGACTGATTCTTTGCTGTCAGATTAGGAGACTGATTCTTGCCCTGTCTTTGCAGAGGAGGGGAAGATGGTGGTCATGATGCTGGCGCTGTGCCTGACCTTGCAAGGCCCTGGCACCAATCTCCTGCAAAACGTCTCCCAGGTCGCCAAGGCGCTGTCATGTGGGGCTGAACTGGCCCAAAACCAGACAGCTGAGAGAGTGCAACGTGCCAAGGAGCCACTGCTGAGTGAGCAGGGGGCTGGGGGAGGTGGAGGGACTGGAGGGGCCCTTCCTGGGGGGAACAGACAGCCTCAGGCTACCCTCACCCTTTGGGGTATGCTCAGGTGTCCCCTCTCTCTGCAGACATGCAGAGGAAAATCAAGGAGATTGGCCAGAATGCCAAGGTGCTGGGTGACCGTGTCCGTAAGTTCGTCCGCTCCATCATCGACTCCACCAGACACATTGGTGAGCGCTGGACCCCCGGGGGTGTCCCCAGCCCCAGCACCCCCTGCCCTCCTCTCAGACCATCCCCGTCTCCAACGCCCGCTCCGTGCCCGCAGCCCGGGCCCTGCGCACCGTTTGGCTGTGGCTGTCGAGGGCTGGCAACATCTGCAACCGTGAGCTGGGGGATCCCAAGACCAGCTGCTTTCGCTACATGGACAGGGCCAAGGACAGGTGTGAGCGCGCCCTGCCCGTCCTCTTCCACATCTGCTACGTGGTCCTCAGCTTCAAGGCGCTCTGCGGCGTGATCAGCACTTGTGAGTCCCTGCCCCTCCGCCCCGGGGGGCTAATGGGGTGATGGGGCACATCTGTCCCCATCGTGGGGGCCCAGCCCTACAGAGACCCCTCTCTCTGCAGTTACTTTGTTGTTCTGCACCATCCCAGCGTACATCCAGAGCTTCATCCGGGCCAGCGTGGCAGCTCGTGAGTATCCCAGTGCCACGTGGGGGTTGGGGGTTGTCATTGTTTTGCATGAGAGACATCTATGGAAGTGATACAAAGCTTTTAGCCACTCTTCCTAAATAAACTAAAAAAAGGCTATTAGTAGCAAACTTACTTTTTTTTTCCTTACTGATACGGTAAAGAAATTTTATTTCTTTTCCGTATCAGTAAGGAAAAAAAAAGTTATAAGAAGAAAAGTATTCTAAAAGTTTTGTTCTAATTCTTATTGCTCTTTAAGTTACTATTAATACATTTTTCTTTATACCCTTTTAAAGTTTTAAACCTACCTTACCTTTCTCCTAACCCTACTTCACACCAAAAATAAGTACATTACTAATTAGCCAACACCAAACCCACCACACTCTTTAGAACATTAACCAAAAAAAATCTCAAAATTAACAAAATCTCAGATTAACAACCCAAAACCACTACACGGGTCCTTCTCTGTGCCCCTCTTCTGGTTCTGGCCGCAATGCACAGCACCTCTCGTGCCCTCTGCAGCCCTCACGGATGCCCTGAACCGTGTCCGCGCCAGATTAACAACCCAAAACCACTACACGGCTCCTTCTCTGTGCCCCTCTTCTGGTTCTGGCCGCAATGCACAGCACCTCTCGTGCCCTCTGCAGCCCTCACGGATGCCCTGAACCGTGTCCGCGCCGAGTTTGAGTTCAACATCTCGGTCACGCACCACTTCAGCGTCAACCTCAACGCCAGCAAGAGCCTGGGCGAGGTGTCTGCCGATATAATGGAGGCCGTGCAGCACAGCATGGAGCCCTACCACCGTGCCCTGGAGCTCTTCTCCTACGTCTCCTTCTTGGTCGTGCTCTTCTTGTGGTACCGGTGAGTAGTGCTCTGGTGACCCATGGGGACAGGGACGTGGCGTGGAGGTGCTCAGCTCCCTCCCGTGCCCCCAGCGCGGTTCGCTACCGGCGCCTCTACCTGCGGGACGACACCTTTGACAACGTTTACATCACGCGGCGCTTCGTGGAGATGGACCTGCGCTGTGCGGAGCAGGGCAAGCCCACCGTGCTGCCCCTGTCGGGGCGGGAGAGGGGCCGCTACATCCCCCCAGGTCAGCCCCACCCCCGAGGGTATCCCCCAGCCCAAGCTGAGCGCCCAGCACGGCCTCACGGCGCTCCCATGCAGGTGCTCTGTGGCTGTCAAAGGCGGAGCGACAGCAGTACGGGCTGCAGCTCTTTTCGTTCCTGCGCCATACGCTGCTGGGGTTCAGCATCCTCCTGGCTGACTACACCATCTTCTGGCTGCTTGGCCTGTTCCGGCACCAGCTGAGCGCCGAGATCGTTGCCAGGGGTGAGCAGCACCCTTGGGTGCTCTGCTGGCTGAGGGTCAGGGCCTGTGGGATGGCCCCAGGTCTGAGCTGCTCGCCCACAGCGCCGTCGATAATGACCATCAGCGTCAACGGGACTGGCTACACCAGCGAGATCTACCAGGATCTGGTCTCTGCCTTCAACGCGCTGCAGGAGGGCGAGGTCTCGGTGCTGTCCCAGGTCTGCCTCATCGAGCCCATGGAGCCTGACCACGGCACCTACATCACCATAGGTGTGCACACCGGGGCCACTGCACCCTCAACAACCCAGGTGGGTGGAGGGGGTGAAGGGGAGTGCCCCCCACCCCTACTTATTTTCTTCCCACCAGGAATCCTGTATGGTATCTGGCTCTTCATCTCTGTCTTCGGTTCCTACCTGGCACGCCTGCGCCGGGCAGTGTGTGCTTACTACTTCCCAACCCGTGAGCAGGTGAGAAGCCCCCTGTGCATGTGTGTGTCCCTCTACACCCCCTGAGCCACCAGCTGCCCTCACCCCATCCCCTCCATGCCAGGAGCGCCTGACCTACCTCCACAACATCATCCGGGCACGGCGGGAATGGGCGCTGTTTGCCCTGAGCCAAGTGGGCACACGACAATTGGACGATACTGGGAAAAGCAGGTTCTTCCTTATCCTCATCTCCAGGTAAGCTCTTCCAGGAGATGGAAAAGGGGCAGCATCATCCCTGGGGGTCTGTGGCAAGGACCCCTGGGATGGCATTGCCCTGCGTGCTTGCAGGTGCCCTCTCCTAGCTCGCCTCGCTCGCCGCGTGGGCATCCAGCGCAAACACTGCCTGACCTGTGGGGCAGAAGAGAAGCCAGATTTCACCGCCTGCATCACACCCAACTGCAAAGGTAGGAGCCCCCACAGTTTGGGGACGCCCTCCCCATAAAATCCCCCATTCCTTCCTGACAGCCCCATTTTCCACAGGGCTGTATTGCAGCCAGTGCTACCAAACCATGAACAACATCTGCTCCGTCTGCAAGGCCCCCCTGAGCTACCCGGCCACCGGGGATGAGGAGCGGTGAGCAGAGGGGTGCTGGGGGGCTGCAGGGGGTGTGCAGGGGGGGCTGCAGCTCAGCCCTGCCCTCTGTGCCCTGCAGGGACTCCAGTGACGAGGAGGAGACAGTGGGGCTGCGGCTGGGCGCTGCGCGGGCGCTGCAGGGTCAGGAGCCAGGGCGGCGGCTGCTGCAGCGCATCAGGGACATCCTCAAGGGCCGGGGGCTCCCCTTCAGAACCAGGAGGCTGCAGGAGCAGCTGGAGGAGGAGGAGAGAGAGGGGCTCCTCTCCAGGTGAGGGCTGCTGTGGTGTTTTTCTGAGACCCCCAACAAAGGGAGGAATGATGGGAGGAATGACTCCACGTTCTCAGAAGGCTAATTTATTATTTTATGATACTGTAGTATCTAAACTAAACTATACTAAAGAATAGAGAAAGGATATTACAAAACTAAACTATACTAAAGAACAGAGAAAGGGTATTAAAAAATACTAAACTAAAGAATACTGAACTAAACTATACTAAAGAATAGAGAAAGGATACAGAAAGAAGGCTAAAATATACTAGAGAAAACTCGTGACTCCTTCCAGAGTCCCGACACAGCTTGGTGGTGATTGGCCATTAAGTAATAATAATTCACATGAAACCAATGAAACAATTCACCTGTTTCTATATTATATATATTATACATATATATGTTTTTATATATTCTAGATTATTTTTTTCTAATATATAATGTATCATGTATAATATATAATATGTAATATATAATATATAATATATACTTTTATATATATTATATATTATATATTACTTTTTTATATGGTATATATTTTCTATTAAATTTTCTACATTCTATTTCTGTATTATAAATCACATATATATGTGCATATATATAATATGACAATTTTTTCTATTATAAATTCTCTATTTTTCCATTTCAAATTTTCTCTAAAATTCTCTATAAATCCATTTCCCCCACGCTGGCACTGCTGCTCCCCAACACTCATCCCCCACCTCCAGACCCGACTTTGACGAGGAGGATCAAGCTGCGCCAAGGGACAGCGAGCTGCAGGAGGTGGTGGTCTCAGAGACCCCCAGCCGCGTTCCCTCTCCATCGGAGCATCCCACGGGCACCAACCCTGGAGCGGAACCCCGTGCTCGGAAACGTCCCAACTCCAGTGAGCCGCGCTGCCTGTCCCGTCCCGGGCAGGGCGGTGGCACGGCGGGGTGACACCTGTGTCCCCTCCCAGCCCTGAAGCGAGCGGTGGTCGCGGTGCTGCCCGGCCCGTGCAGCCGCTTCCTCTGGAGCCGGCCCGACCAGTACCGCTGCAGGAAAGCCTTCCTGGGAGCCGGCTTCGGGATGCTCCTCGGCTTCGGTGAGTGTGGGAATCCCTCAGTCACAGGGGCTGCGGAGAGCTGCAAAAGGCAGGTCTTGGACACAGCAGGACTGCTATGACTTTTCTGTATTATATAGGTTATACATACATATATCTATATCTGTATCTAAATCTAAATATTTCTATCTATTTCTACATATATATCTATATGCACCTATATCTATCATCTATCTCTAGATATTTCTATCTATATATCTGTATCTATATATATCTATATATCTATATCTATCTGTCTTTCTATCTGTCTATCTGTCTAGCTCTATATCTATAGCTATCTATAGCTATCTATATCTATATCTATCTATATCTATATCTATAGCTATATAATCTATATCTATATCTATATCTATATCTATATCTATATCTATATCTATATCTATATCTATATCTATATCTATATCTATATCTATATCTATATCTATATCTATATCTATATCTATATCTATATCTATATCTATATCTATATCTATATCTATATCTATATCTATATCTATATCTATATCTATATCTATATCTATATCTATATCTATATCTATATCTATATCTATATCTATATCTATATCTATATCTATATCTATATCTATATCATCTATCTCTATCTCTATCTACATCTACATCTACATTTACATCTATCTATATCTATATCTATATCTATATCTATATCTATATCTATATCTATATCTATATCTATATCTGTATCTATATCTATATCTATCTATATAATCTATATAATCTACATATCTATAGTTATTTCTATTTCATCTACATCTATCTAATATCTATCTATCTATCTATCTATCTATCTATCTATCTATCTATCTATCTATCCACATATCCATATATCTGTATCTATATCTATCTTTGTATCTATATCTATATAATCTATATCAATCTATATCTATCTATTCTATCTTATTTTTTTTCTATATTATAAATTTTCTATGCAATTTTCCAATCCTTTTCCCACACACTGCACTGCTGTTCCCCAGCACTCGTCTTCCCACCTCCAGACATGACAACAGAACAATTAGAGCTAAGCAGTAGCCAGAGGATTTGTCAGCAGAAAAGTTATGTGAGATGTAGAAAGTAAGGACAAATAAATAGAATAATGCTCCTTAATTTGGAGATAATTTGGGGAAAACTTTGGGAGAAAATCGAGGACAAAAAATAGAAAATTTAGGACAAAAAATAGAAAAATAATAATAAAGAATATATATAATAACAAACAATAATAATAAACAATATTTATATAAATAATATATAAAGTATCGAAATACTGTATTAAATATATAAATAATAAATAATAAAAAATTATAATTTTCCAAAGTAAGGACAAATAAAACAAAGGTATTAATGCTTGGCCAGAATAACTCCCTAAGCTACAGAAAAGTCTATCTAGAGAGATATTAGGAAGTTATGAGCTTAATAAAGGAGCTCTGTGCATTGTGTTTTAATGCTCACAAACAGGTTTTGTATTTGAAATAAGCAAGCATTGTTTAACCAAAGGTACGTGTGCTTATAGTGGTTGGAGGGAACTACTGCCAATATGATTTTGCTTTGTGTGATTGGGTCAAAAAACTTTTAAAGTAAGTTGTAACATTAAATTCTTTATCTGCTGCCAAGGACATGAGCTGCTGGCATCTTCTCACTGTCATAACCTTGTAATGAGAGTGATGCTGGAAAATAATCAGCTGGAGATGTGTTCCCCAGCAGTCCTGTCCCTTTCGTTATTTTGTACATGAAAAACATTTTTTGTACATTTTGTACATTTTGTACATGTTGTGGCATTGCACAACGATGTGCTTGTTTCTGTTGAAGGGCTTTAGTAACTTTCTTAAGGGCTTTTTGGGCTTTAGGTGTGAGGGTTCTGGGAGATTGGATGTGGTAGTCTCTTCTTAAGAAGTTGATAAGTGGTGTAAGTTTATCATTGGTGATCTCTAAAAGTGGCCTGATCTAATTGATTGCTTTTAAATCCTGTAAATTGTTGACATTGGTTTTGAGTTGTATATTTTGTAGTTTGTTTGTTGTGTGATTTTTAATTTTAAATATTTCTATGGTGAGATTTTTTTTACTTTTGACGTAGAGACTTCTAATCTTGTATTCTGAAGTTCTGTAATTATGCTGCCACGAGTCTTTTGTATTTCTTTGTGTGTTGGTGCTCTAATGAGTAGATTATCTACATAAGGTGTAATTATTTTTTGCGGATGTCTCTTTTGAGCTGGAGAGAAGGTTTGTGTTACCAACTATTGGCAAATTGTTGGTGCGTTTTTAAGTCTTTGAGGAAGAATTATATATATAAATTGGAAGAATTATATATATATATATACACATTGGAAGAATTATATATATACATTGGAAGAATGGAAGAATTGGAACATCAGGAAGAATGAGGAACATTGTTGTGTGTTCCAGGGCTCTGCCACCTCCTCATCATGCCTCTGGACGTGTCAGAGACGCGGAAGCTCAATCTTACCTGGTGGCTGACCGGTGAGGATGGGGCAGGGAGGGGACAGAGGTGGGACCACCAGAAGCCCCGGGGGGTTCTCTGTGGGGCTGTGGACTCAGCTCTCTGCTCTGCACAGTCATGACTGCCCTGGGCTGGGCCACGTCCCCCCACTTTCGCTGTGCCAACCTGCTGATGGTGCCCAAGTTCCTGGGAAAGGAGGGTCGGCTCTACGTTGTCTCCTTTGTCTTCGCTGCCATCTACAACGGTAGGGTCCCCCCCTTATCCCTGTGTCCCCCGGTGGGCTCCTGGGAGCTGGTGGGCCCTGAGCCAGCCCTGCTGCCAGCAGGGCCCGTGGCCAACCTCTGGTACAACCTGATGGAGACGAAGCGCTCGATGGAGTGCGTGGTGGAGCTCCAGGTGAACCACACGGGAATTCTCTGGAAGGCATCTACAGCCCCCCTGCGCCAGGTCATGGAGCAGCTGGTGGTGAGGAGGGGTCTGGGGCAGGGGTCTTGGGGGGCTGGGGGAGCAGGATCAAGCCTCTGCCTATGGTTGTGTTCGAGGGTCCCAGGGTGAGGGAAGAGATGAGACTCTTGGCTTCATGTTTCTGAAGGCTGATTTATTATATTATGCTATTATATTAAAATGATATACTAAAACTATACTAAAAAGAATAGAGAGAAAGGATCCATCAGAAGTGTGGAAAGAAAAGGAAAGGAATGATAATAAAATCTTGTGACTGCTCACAGCCTCGACACAGGTGGCTGTGACTGGTCATCAAGTGAAAACAATTCACATGCTGGGTAAACAGTTCTCCAAATCACATTCCAAAGCAGCAAAACGTGGAGAAGCTGAAGCTTTCCAGCTTCTCAGGAGAAAAGATCCTGGCAAAAGGATTTTTCGTAAAATACGCGTGTGACATCTGCCTGTGTCTGTGTGTGTGTGTGCCCTGGCAGGAGAGCGCGGAGACGCTCAACTCCGAGATTCACAACGTCTCGCGAGCCTTCGTGGACCTGAACGAGCAGGTGGCCAACGACGAAGGCTACGACCTGAAGCAACGCCCAGGCACGGGCACAGAGAGAGCCCCCAGCACCCAGGAGCTCTACGCGACAAAGACCAAACTTCGCTGTGAAAGTGAGTGGGGTGGGCAGCGACTGGCAGCCACGTGGGGAGGGGGCTGCCCCAGATCCCACTGCTGTCCCCAGCTGGGAGCTGGGCCAGTGGGCTGCACAGGCAGCTGAGGGCTCCTTCTGCCCCCCAGCTGTGATCCAGATGGGCCTGGTGCGCTGCACATCACACTTCTACAGAATGTACAAGAAATGCATGGCACAAGTGAGGCTGCCCCTCTTCAACCACCTCATCTGCCTGCCCATGCAGTTCGGGTTCCTCTGCCACATGATCAAATGTAGGTGACCCTGACCCCATTCTCCCTTGGAGGGGCAGATCCAGTTCTGCCCTGCAGCCCCTGGCATGCACTGTCCCTGTGCCATCTCTGCAGTCATGAGGCGCTGGTGTGAGAAGAGGATCCCCGTGGATGGGAACTTTGGGCACACGTACGACCAGGTGAACGACTCCGTCAACAGCCTCAGCCAGGAGTTCAGCGCCAGCATCACCTACCAGGTGGGTGCCTGGGCACCCTATGGGTGCCCGTCCCTTGTACCCATGGCCCTGCCCTGCCCCATGGCCCCTCTGCCACAGGAGGAGCACCACAAGATGCTGGTGGGCGCCGAGGTGGCGGCGCAGCTGCGGGAGGACGTGACCTCGCAGCTGCGGCAGGAAGGCGCCCGCCTGGGCCTGGCCGTCTCCTTCTTCCGCCTGCTGCTGTCCTTCACCTTCCTCTTCGTCTTCTTCTCGTGAGCCTTGGGATGGTCAGGGGGTGGGGGTGACACCCCTGTGCCAGCTGCGGGGCACAGAGGGGTGGGGGCCTTCTTTGGCAGCCGGTCGGGGGGTGGGGGTGACACCCCTGTGCCAGTTGTGGGGTGCAGAGGGGTCAGGCAGAAGGTCTGAGGTGGGACATGAAGACAAGGGTGGTCCTGGGGGCTTCACCCAGTGCCTCCTTCACCCCAGACCTATCCTCTCCCACCAGGGCTTTCCACTACACCTATAAGTACTGTCACAAAATCGGCTTTGACAACTGCTACATCACCACCTATTTCCGCCAAATCGATGCCCGGCGCAGAGAGCAGGTTGGGCAGGGGGAAAGGGGTGCAGGGCAGCCCCGTCAGCCGCCGTGGGGTGTCCCAGAGGCTGCACTGAGACACCCCCTGCCCCTCACCCAGAACAAGCAGACGTTGCTGCCCCTGCTCAAGGAGGAGGCCTCGTCTTTCATCTTCCCGTGCAAGCCGGCCCTGCAGCGGCCTGAGCGGCTGCACATGGTGAGGGCTGGGGGTAATCAGGGGCTCAGAGCTGGGCACAGCAGGCTGTGACAGCTCCCCTGCTCCCTGCAGGTGATGGAGCTGCTCAGGTGCATCCCACTCCTGCTCTTCCTCCTCTTTGTCTGCGGCCTGGACCACTTCATCTTCACCGTTCTCAGCGTCATCCAGCATCATTCCTTCATCGAGTATTCCTACCAAAGTGAGCTCACGGCCCTGGAGGGCTGGCCCATGGTCCCACCCTGCCCCTCAGCAACGCAGGGACCCCCTCAGCCCTCCCAGCCCCTCCTCAGCCTCCCTATCCTGCCGCCCCACAGCCAGCCACCACTTGTCCGTGAACGTGATGGGCACATCCCTGATGGCACAGCTGCTGCGGGGCACCATCGGGGCCCTCAACACCTCCCACGACACCGAAGTGGAGACCTCCAACCTCGGTAAGCCCCTCGTGGATGG